ATCTAAGCAAGCATTAAAGGGTTACTATGTAACTTTCCTGGTGGAGGTTTTGCCTGTATTTCTTTTAACTTATCTATCTCCATGGAGGCAAACACATTAACTCACCAGGCCAGGTCACAAGTCAGATATGTGGAAATATGTTGCATCATCTAAGCAATCATTAAATGGGTACTATGCAACTTTACCGGTTTGCCTTCTGCATGTCTTATTGGATCAATGCTTTGTCTTCAAATGAATTTTATTTAAAGGTGCACTATGTAACTTTTTGGTTAGGGGTTCATCACCTGCTTGTTTCTATGGATATGGCATCGCTCTTCCCGAAATGTTCCAAAATATGTCATTAAAAAGCTCTTAACATTTACTTGCATTACATACATTTACATTTACATTACATTTACATTTACAAACATCTAGAAAAACAGGCATTTTGACTGTGAGGGAAGTTGCTTCTCCTCAGATCTGACCTGTAACTTCGTCTGGTTTGATCTCCATGAAGCTTGTATGGTTTAATATCATACTGTGAAACATTCCAAAGTAGTTGACTGAATTTCTTCATTTGCTATGGATCCTACCTGGACAACTCAGGGATTTTACAAACATCTTAAGAACAACTACATCTTAAGAACAACTTATTCAATTCTGATTGAGGGTGGTTGGCCTAATAAATAAGCAGCTTGGATGAGCTACGAAATGTATTAGATAAAAAAAAAAAAAACTTTTGTCCAGTTGACCGAACTGAATTTCTCCTTTCCCATTCCAGACAAAGCAATGACATCTCCAATGGAGAAAAGTATTTGACAGGTCCTACACCAGAAAAGTTACACAATGCACCTTTAACTTATCAAACAAATAAACTCACCAGGCCAAGTTACAAGTAAGATATGTGGAGAGGTGACCCTACACACAGTAGAAATATTTAGTTAAATGCCGTACTGTGGAACATTTAGACAAAGCATTCAATCCTTATGGACATAAGCAGGTGGCAGACACTACAGCAGGAAAGTTACATACTGCACCCTTATCTAGTACTGAAGGATTCCAGTCATTTTTCACTATATTTAAATAATTATACAACTTGGCTGCTATTTTCTCTTATTTGTCATTTGCTATTGTGGTTCTTTGGGAGTTTTAGTTTTATTAATTTATTGTCTTTTGTTGTCTTACGTGGATTCTAGAGGTTTTATTCTTGTCTCTCCACTGACCCTAAAGATAAACAAAACAAGGGAGTGAAGGAGTGTGCCAGTCAAACAATAACCTTTTATAGACATTCCTGTGAGTGACATGTGGCTGTTAACAGGTAATACACCTCCTTGTGTTTCCACAGATAAACTGATACAATATTTGGCAACTTGGCATGGGTTATAACTCTAAACAGCGAGTCTTAAAATTGTTCTGTTTAAATGAAGGTACTCTGCTTATTTAAAATCGATTACTGTAGGCCTATTTTTACATCTAAGAGTTATATCTGTTTTTGCTAATGCTAGTGGGTCATCATATAAGGGTTAAATACTCCAATTGTTAAGAGAGTGTGTCAAACATTTTCTTAACACAATTAGACCAGCTGGGAGATTGAAGGACTTGCCAAGACTTTAAGGATATTACTGGAAAAAGAAAAACAGTGTTGAAAGATATATTGAAGTGTTTGTGTTTCCAAACTGCCCAGAGCTCCAGGAGGGAGGAAGGCTTTACACTTCAAACTCAAAAATGTTCCTGCACATTACATTAAATCAAACCGTATTTCAGTCAGATCTAAAACCATGTGAAAGGTCACGTAGTCCTTGACAGAGCAGTCTTTAAGCTCACCACAGCTGTTAGCCATTGGTATCAATAGCTGTCCTTCTGACCTTTGCAGAAGAGTCTTCTCCAGTAAAACTCTCCGTGCCCGATTCCAGTGTCCAGGCACAAGGTGATCCACGTCCAGCCAATGTCCCATCAGGAAACAGGGGTCAAGGATCAACCCTGATTGTTGTAGCCTGTCCTCTAGGAAAACAAAATAAGCAAATGTTTACGCCATCAGGAAGTGCTTCACTAATGACTCTTAACTGATGCCCTGTCAGTCACAGCTATTTCTTTTTCTACTATATCGGCTTACTTTTACTTATTATTCTTTATTTTTACTTCACATTGTTTTGATATTAATTGCATGCTATATTTTGTTAATCAGATGTATGTAATTGGGGTTTGTTAGTTACAAATACATCAAAACCACCAGAAACTAGTTAAATATTGAAGCACTTTTCTAAATAAATAGAATAAAAAGTTGCTAAATCACTGTTATGCACAAATCTGCACAATCTGTTTTATTAAATGTATTGTTACTTTATCTTGTGATGATCGCTGTGTGAACATACAAAAAATATATTCCCAATTATAGCTATTACACTTTCTTGTTTTAATGACATTTATGGCTACAATCAAATACAGAAAGAGTATTAAAGAGTAAATTTTCAATTCAAATACTATTCAATTCCACCTTCATTTTAAATCTGAATTGATTCCAAGTACTCCCCAGTAAGTGCTTGCATACCCCAGGTTAAGAAAGACAGTTCTAGTCTGTTTGTTTACTGACAGTATATCTCATGTTAGATTAAACATAAAAGGTTCTGGGCCTTTTTGAATGGTATAACTAAATGCAGCATGCAGGAATTTTCTTGCACTAACTCAAAGCCCATTAATGTTGCTTGCTTGGCTTCCCTCCAGCCATGTTAGATCAAGCATAATAACTCGTGAGTTTATGGACCTTTGCTCCCCAAATGTCTACCATGTTGCTAATTGCGTACATCTGTGACTTGTGTTTTGATGTTTTGTCTAAATGTGCAGCTGTCCGTTCACTTTCCAACAGCCTCTGGTTAAAAGTGGCATGTCCGAGTGCTATCTGTGCCCAGCCTTTTAATAGCAGTCATTTGAATGGGTTTTTATCTTGCACCTGGGGGCCATCACTTTGTTACTAATCCTGATGTTAAAACTGACCCACGAGCTAGTTCAATGAGACAATTTGGCTTTGCAGTGTAAACAACTTAATGACTGGGAGGCAGCATGTGTTGCAAAAACACAATAACAAAAAGCTAATATTTGGAGGTTAGTAAATTATTTGTAAAATTGTCTTTGCTGTATTCTTGCCAGCCCAATCACAGTTAAAGGTGTACTATAACTTTTCTGGTGGAACATCTGCCACCAGCTTGTCTCCATGGATGTTACTGCTTTGCTTTGAATGCTCCATACTATTCCATAAAATGTATCAATCTCAGAGACAAGCAGGTGACATCAAGTTTTGTGTCAGATCTATGGAGAGGCAACGCCTAATCACAGTAAGTATGTGTTTTGTGGAGTATTTTGAGCAACAGAAAAAAGCAATTACATCTCTATGGAGGAAAGCAGGTAAAGTTACATAGTGCTGCTTTAAATAAAAAGGGCCCAAGGTAAAACTATGCCAAAAAACAAGCACTTCACATCGTGCTTTGTTCTTCATTCACATATACACAGTCCGCTATTTGTAGCTTTTAAATGTTATTATGGGCTTATCTGTGTTCTAAATTGTGATGTTTTGCTTAACACATCATTTACCATGGATTAATTGAACTGGTTTATTTGACTTGACTCTTAAGCCTGCTGTAACAGTCCAGTGGTTTGTTTGGATCAGATAGCGGCTGTCTTTATGTGTGCTGCTGCAGTGTCATCACACCAGGGATCAGTGTAAATGTGCTCTGTGGACATCAGTGAAACCCAATCTGGAGTAATTGCTGGGATAAAACGAGGGATTGACCTCTGCCATTAACCATATTTTGTGAAACAACACACACTTGAGCTGGCTTTGAAATGTCTCTCCTTTGACGAGAGCTCTCATCAGATGTTAGTGTAGCTAAACAAAGACCCTGCTAATGTCATCTCTGTGTTTTCTTGGTGCACCGATAACTAGTACCATAGTCCCTCTGCAGGGTTCAATTGCATTGCAACTTGGACACTATACTAAAATTCTACACCCCTACTACTGTCCCCTATAGGTTGTGTTTAAATTGTAGCATTTGATGAAATACAGCTCTAGGAAAGAATCCTTGTTTTTGAAACAAACACACAAATGTTGAACCTCATCATTATTTGTCCGAGATCTAGAAAAACACCATAATAATCCAGTGGTTCCTTTCAACAGACAAGAATCACATCTTCAGGATTGAATATTGGCACTTCTTTCAGAGGCTATTGTGAAAAACATACAGTTTTCTTTATTTATGCCAACAAGACAAGACAATGAACTTTGTGCCAGTTGTTTTTGTTTCATGCTTATAGGCCTAGTAATTGCAGAGATATTGACCATAAAACTGGTCAACAAATTTGCAGTCTGATGGCTAATCTAGAATGTTATGTCACGTGTACACAGTCTATTGTGTTGTTACTGCACTTTATAAATCAAAACATTTATTGAATGTGGTTATTGCCTGTTTTAATGCATTTCTCTTCTGTGTATTAAAAAACAACTGAGAGAGGTCATCTATATTCATGAATGTGTCTGTACAGATTTCTGTGGTCAAAGCTATTGTCAGTGTCTTCATGAGGGCAAACACACAACATGTCTGGTGCGCCACATGTGTTTGTGTGGAGCTGTTGTGATGGTTTGGACCCTGAAGCGCACATTCCTTTCATCCGGGGCCCTCAGGCTGAGCTCCACCTCTCCCTGTCGCTGCCACGGTTTGAAGAAGGCAAACAGATGCAGCTTTGGCAGATGGCGCCCAACTCAAATCAAGTCCATATTTCAAGTCCAATGTCCACTAGTCCAGAGCCTGTCCCCTGGTACGATAATTGAGTTTAGATCAAAGCCATTTGTGCCTTACTTAAGGTCTAAGGCTGCTTAGTTTTTAATAATAACACAAACACTTCCGCCAGTGACCTTCAGTGCCCCCTTAGCCCTTCTCTCCCCGCGGCGCCCAACCTCCAAACCTTTGAAGAGTTAAGTTGTCACATATACTCAATCACAAATTCAGGGCCAAACTTCACTAACATGGAAACATTCCTTTATTCACAGAAAAGCAAATGTGAATTTGTATTTATATGTAGTGTTTCAAATAACATTTTTAACAACAATAAATAAATAATAGAAAATAAAATATATCTCCAGCTATAGTAAAGCAACTATTTACATAAAAATACTCAAACACATTAAAGCTGTATAATTGGAATTGGACCACACCAAAATAATTTCTTAAGTAAATCCTTCATCGTCATTGTTAATATTATGGTAAGGGGCGCCCCCTTGTGTTCATGAAATGTAAACTATGTCTTTTAAAAGTATTCAGGGGGTCCAAGAAATAAAAAAGGTAGCACCATACAGTCTACAATATGTGAAAAGTAGAGAAGCTTTAAATATTGTCCAAATCAATATTTACTTCCTCCTCCGTGATAAGCGCAGTCGTCCAATGGTGGTGGTGAAGGGCAAAGCTGTGCGCTCACATAGAGACTGTGGAGTGTCCTCATTGTCCTCATCCACATCTGCGGGGGACATGGATATAGAGGATGTGTCACTCAAATGCTCACTTTGTACCTGAGGACAGTCCGGCAGAGACGCTGTGGACAGAGACATCTCACTCTCCTCACTGTCTCTGCCCAACCCCTCCAGATGAGCCTGGAAGGTCAGGGCCTGCTGCTCCACTGACAGAAAATCCTCCTGCAACTTGTCAAACTGTACAAACAGGATATATTATTTATTTTGTACTCTAGAACACTAAACTTATTTCAGGTCATATTGTAACTACACATACTGAATGAGTGATTTCCTAAACTGTACTGAATGAACCACTGCTATTATATATAAGTGCTTATATTACTTCTATTTCCACCAATTACAGGGTGATTGTCATCGTGTCATATTCATTTTTAGCCAATACAATTCTGCTGTGTGTAAAAGTACCTGTTCAATGTTTGACTGAAGCAGCTTCTCTGGCCACACTGACTCAATACTGCTATTCACAGTGTGGCTCACATTAGTGTGGCTCCATGTCAGCTCCTGGAGAAGGACAGGACATTAGTCAAGTCTTTAATAAACAAACATGTTTATATCGTCACAGAAAGTTCACCTGCAACACTCGAATGGTGTCTTTTAGATGAGACTGGCAGCTCTGGAGTTTGTTCCTGTACTCATCCACCTCCGTCAGCATAATCTGTGGAAAAGAAGTGTTACCAGTAATTAAGTGAACAAGCAATGTCACAGACAGACAGAGGTTCTGTTACTCTAATATGGCTCGTTTATAATGTGGCTTCTATAATATTCAGCAGGATTTATTTTAAATGGCATTTTATTCAAGCACTAGCCTGTATCCACCTGGTACACATGGTTAATGGCAATTTATTGCATTCAATTCATGTCTTGTATGATGGATATTTTTTGTAAAAGTTCACAAAAATATATTTCAAGCCTGTTAAAGTTCCTTGAGAACATTCCAGTAGAAGAAATTGACTGCCCCTTTGAAACCCAGCATCTTTAAGTTGTTTAGAAGTCATAACCTTTATTGTAACTATAATAAGTAGGGAATTTGTAGATGTGTTACCTTGACATCAGCCTGGGCAGAGGGCAGCTCTCTGCATTCCCGCTCTCTCTTCTTGGAGATTGTAACTCCAGTGTGCATCTCCTCCAACTGAGCCCAGAGTCTGTTCAGACCCTGCTGCATGTCAGTGACACTGGCCTCCAGGCTGGACTGAGCCTCCACCAGCTCACTCAGCAACAGCACCCTGACAACAGAGCAGAGGTTTGGCTTTGATCTGCCCAGTCTCAGCACATAACTACAGAAACTAACTCACCTCTGCTGGAGATAGCTGTAGATAAGCCCCACTTTGTCTGTGAGAGTCGCATCAACATCCTCTATTGCTTCTTCTGGGTGAGTGTCAGCCTCCTCAAGAGTTTGAGAAACTAACTGGAAGTTAAAGGAGATTACAAATTACATATTACAAGTACTAGTGTAGAGATACTGGCGCTGGCTAGTCAATAGCACTTACTGTAGGCAGGTTAGACTGAACGATTAGATGTACTGATTGCTGTAAACATATCAATGTTTTATAGTGGGTGTGAAACACGGGACTGCTACGGTGTGCTAAGTCTCTTAGGGAAGTATGTTTTTGTGTAAGAAATTCCACACAAAATGTTAAATCACCAATAGGAAACTTGTGACAGTCATATCTTTGAACTGCCTGGATGAATGGAGATGACAAGTGCAATAGTCCAGGGCTAGAATATTGTGCTGCTGAGACTAATAATGTGATGTGTAATACCAAGTGAAAACCTATGAATTACATGCAGAGGGTGAGTGAAACGCTGAGATGACAGAAGCCTGCTTCAGGCTACTGTGCAATACTTGTATTTTAGCAGCACAGTATGTTGAGTGGTTCCTCTCACCTGCAGACTGCTGAGGAGAGCCTGAATATGGGCCACAGAGGGGCCTTCTAGTGGCTCCTGTAGCACACATAGAAGCAGACTGTCAGCCAGGACCAGAGCAAGAGGCCCAGGTCTGCTCCACTGCACAGGTCTGAAATATAAAACATGCCATATCAGAATATGTGTGTAATCATGAAAGAGGCCAATCATTGCTCTTGTATGGTTGTATCACACAAAGAGAGATTTTAAAATTGATTGATAACGTGAAATGGAACAACTGATAGTTTTACCGTGGAGAGAAATGACACACTTCGACATGTGTTTGTTGAGGATGCTCTTCCTTGAATAAAGAGAATTAAAAGTTTGCTTTATATCAGTAAAAACTGGGAGTCCAAAACTATGTAATGGCACTCTTACTTTAAAGACCTCGATATGCCCGTTTTGCAGGTGTTTTTGGAGCGCATGAGCACCTACTGCCAGCAGCATCCACACTAAGCAGAGACATAGAAGTCCACTGATGGAAAGGTACTCTTGCGCCTCCGCCTGGCAAACAGACCACACTACAGCAACTGCTACAACTCTCAAGAGGTTTTTCCTGGGAAGATGAGCTGACTGAACGCGCAGCCAAGAGGGGATCTGGGCTTGAGCTGCTGTCACGGCCTGGGACCACGACCATCTGAAAATTATTTTAAACAATTTAGATATGCTCATGTTTTTATTATGTTGTGCACAAAATGAATATTTACTTCCTTTTGTCCAAGTCCAGGCTACACTGATACATCAGAAATTACACTGGCACAATAATAAGCAACGACAATGCAGCAGTACTATTAAGTACTAATACTAATACACATGCTGTTAGGAATCTTGTTGAATTTAAACCGAGAGCTGCCACTCACTGACACACAAATCACATAACAAGGCAGAACCTACCTGCTCAGCCCACTCATTTCAGTTTCCTGGTCCTCCTTCTCCATCCATTGACAGCAATCGTCCCAATTTACAATACGAGTAATTGTACTTTCATGTTTCTGTTTGAATATAGAGACAATGGTCAGGTAAGGTTCAGTAACATAATAGTCACGAGAGTACTGAGGAGAACAACATTGGTTTTGATGTAGGTGTGAAGCTTGCCAGACAAGTTGTACTGGAAAACTACTTTTCTGGGCAATCCTTTTTCTCTTTACAATGACAGGAATGTGTTGATCAAACTAGTAACAATTGTATTAAGAACCAGTTCAACCTTCCCCATAAAACAGCAGCCAAAACACACCCAAACAATCCATGTGAATGATGAGTAATGAATGTCAAGTTATTTTTAGTTGAAATCAAACAGCTGCTTATAATGTGTATTTTGTAAAGCTCTACTCAATTAAAATCTATTAGTACAAATTTATAGACACTTAGTGCTAGTAGTATTTATGCTAGTCTCAAAAAATCTGGAGTCATGCCAGTGTATTTGATGTGATTAAACAAAGATTATCAGTGGACTGGCCTAAAAAAATAAGACACTGGCACGTGAAATAGATCGCGATCAAGCAAAACAAAGGCCAAAAAATTGTGAACAACATTTAAAGTGAAATGCATGGACATTTTATTTTAGCCAGGACATGAACATAAAAAGACTAAATAAATGCAAAACTCAGTCTCTGTACATATTTTCATACAATTTACTTTATACATTGTACGTTTGCAGAGCGATTTAAAACCTGGCCTAAACCAGAAAAGATGTCAGAGCTTAATTTAAAATAGGAGCCACAGAGAGCCAAAATAATTTCTTCTTATGAACAGGATAGCAGTTCATTGTATTTCTACTTTCATTATTGTAAAACACACATATACAAATACATTGAAGTACAACAAAAGTCCCAAATGTAGTTACTGCAAATATAGAATGTAATATTCATGTGTAGGTTAGCTTTGGAGGTAAGGTGCAGAAATATAGTTTTATATCTTTCTTATCAAATGATCTGTCAGTTTTTTGTTTTTTTTTACATAGCAGAGCAAACTGTGCTATATTTATCTAGTGAGGTACAGTACAGCAGAAACAATGTAAATAAACACCATAACATATATAACATATATAATTGCTGTAATTTGAAAGAAAATTGTGCAATGTTGGATTAGTTAAATTAAAAAAACATAAATAATAAAATAATACTGAGAATGCTTCAGTGTGGTCCAACATCCTTCACTTTTAAAAATTGTTTACCCAAATAAAACAAACTCGAATGAATGCTAAATGGCTAATGTCTAAATTAAAGGTGCGCAATGTAACATTTCTGGTGGAGGGTACATCACCTGCTCATCTCCATAGATGTTATTGCTTTGCCTGGAATTTTTCACAGTATTGCATTAAGCATGTCTATTTCCATGGAGACAAGCAGGTCCCACAAAATTACAGATCAGATCCATGGCAAATGTGCTCATAATAAGAATTTAAGTTTTTCCACTTCTTCCATAATGGTATATCAGTTTAATACCATATTGCGAAACATTTCTGGCAAAGGAATTATATCTACCAGAAAAGGTACATGATACACCTTTAAATATAAATTATCTTAATATGATATATAAATGCACTTGTTATCATTTTGGGCTTAAACTACAAAATAATCCTATGTGGTTCTGTCACAATTCATTCATATCCAGTTTATGTGCGCTGCGTTGTAGGCATTGTATTTGTGTTATGGTTTTGTGATGTGCACTTCACTGGCACCGCTGCCATTCGTAGTGGTGGTGATGATGTACTGCGTCGTAGGCTGCTGATTGATCTGCTGCTGTTCCAGATGTTCTGTGTGGCCTTGGGCTGCGCTTTGGGGTACGGCCTGTTTGGTGTCCTGCTCGGCTTGACCCTCTGAGATAACGTAGTGTGTCTGGAAAAAACAAAATAAATGAATGGAAACAGATTATACACAGCTTGAGAAGAGTGGAGCAATTATAGTACTAGTTTAAACACAGATTCAGTGTCTTGGTCATCAAGAGATTGTTACTATAAAAGTAACCGTACAAAATCAGTTAACCAATATTTTAATTACGGTATACACATTACTACATAATTACTGCCCAATTACTGCCCAATACAAATTACATTACTTCAACAATAACTACACCTTTGAATTCTAAACAGTTCAGCAATATTTTCATTTATGGATTACCATGTACATTTTCTGATGGAGGGGGCCCTACCTGCTAGTCCTCATGGCAATATCTTTGCCTGGAATGTTCCACTGTATGGCATTAGACTTATCTATCTCCATAGAGAAAAGCAGGTGACGCCACTAGGTGAAGTTAGGTTCAGTCTGTGGATAGACAAGTCCTGCTCTCAATAAGAATGCATATTTTGGTGATTTTCAGCAATAAGAACTAATCTTTATTTATAAGTTTGATGTAATATTTCAGAACATTCCAGACAAAGCAATAACCTCTCCAAGGAGAAAAGCACACCTTCCATCAGAAAACTTAAACTTGAATTACTGTGTGAGATAAAATACAGAATAGAGTTTTCTTACCGTTTTGACCTGGTTACTGTTCACACCTGATACAGGGGTGGTGGCCTCAGCAATGACATACTGAGTATGAGGTAGCGCCATCATCTGGATCTCAGATGCTACAACAGGTAAAAAGAAAACGAGTTTTGGATATTTAGACAATATAATAATTTTCTATTACAAAAAAATATGACTTACAGTATCCCCTATAGTTCCAGTTTCCTGGTAAATATGCATGCTGCACTGCCCCCTGCTGCGGAGGTTGTGCATTGCTGGTTGAGAGATTTTGAGACTGGGCTAAGGTCACTGGGGTCAGCTGAGAGGGACTTAACTCCTGATTGTTCTGCTGGGAGGAGGGACTTAGAGGCTGCCCAGTAACCTTTATAAATACAGAAAAATATATTTGTTAATGTCATTGAAAAGTGTAACTGTTATAATTACTGTTACTGATGGCAGGGTCTCACCTGTGTGGCACTTTGCCCATTGCCTGTGGGCTCTGTAACCTGAATGTGTTGTACTTGGATTGAATGCTGACTATAGCCGTGAGGGTCATGCAGTTGGCTCACATCTACAGCCTGGTGCTGAGAATGTGGGGAGGATGCCTGGAAAGAAACATCCATAACTTTATGTATCTGGTTCAAGTTCAAGACCCTATTTGACAAAGGATTATAAACATTTGGATTGCTTACCGGGGCTACCTGCACAACCTGCAGTTGAATGTGCTGCGGTTGGGCTAAATTGGCCCCGGCCTGAGAAACTGGGATGTATTGGATTCTTTGGTAATCTCCCTGCGCTGTCCTGTAATCCGTGGTCAGTGTCTGGGATAGCTCTGTCATAGCTTGTGTCAGTAGATCTGTGGTCTGTAAGAAAAGACCATTTTAATCATTTAGTAAAACAAAATAGGATATTTACATTGACTATGTGCCATATAGGTCTTTATTACCACCACAGCCTCAGCTGTTGTTCCATCTGTGCTAATGACTGCAGGCGTACTGCTGATGACTGCTGTGGTCAGTGGAGCCTGGATGGTGCTAGCAAGCTGGGCAAACTCTGGGTGCTTTTTGCGTATGTGCTGCACCATTTTGGTCTAGAAAATAGAAATGCTTGTTAAATGTTAGCTTATGAATGGCTTATTACTCACTGTATCTCAGTACCTTGCTGCTATACTGCTTAGCACAGTGGGGGCAGCAGACTGGAGCAGTGGCAATGGTCCCTGTTAGCTGAGTGTGTGTACTCAACATAGGATCTGGTTCTCCAGGAGCAGCAGGGCGCAACTTTCGAATACTTGGAGGCAACTCTGCTCCTGGGTGGTTTTTTAGGATGTGAGCTTTCCTCTTGCTGGCACTTTTATAGATCTGTAAAATACAGTTGAATTAATAATAAAAGTGGAAAAATGTGGAAAAGTACATTACTGTACACTAAGAATAACAAAATATATTACCTTATCACAATACTGACAAAAGTAGTCTCTGTTGGGTTTGATAATTGGCAAAGTAAGCTCAGGGACATCATCAATTCGCATCTCAGGATGACGTTTGGATAAATGATTCACCTAAAGCCATGTACATACATTTACAAGCACATTTACATATGTTAATATTTTTGTTCAGAGCTTGTTCTCACCAGCATCCCTCTCCGTCTGAAGCCCATCATGCACAATCTGCATTTGAACATGAAGCTTTCAAAGTCTGTGGTAGGGACTTTCATTTTAAGAGCTTTGGACCTGTGGATTTTATCAGCCTTCTTTGCTTCTCTGTCTGGATTATGCATTCGCTGCATGTGCTCACGTAGCTTGTCTTTCCTCTTTAAAATACAAGAATAGGACATTTAATGTAACATCCATTTTCCTGAATAGACTGGGTACGAGGCTTTGCCAATGCAAATGTTCAAACCTTAAACTGTTTGCCACAAGTCGAGCACAGAAAGTCCTTGCGGTCAGAGTGGCGTAACATGTGCAGGCGAAGTTTGTCCGGCCTGCAAAACGCCTTCTCACAATCTGGGCACTGGAAGACCTTCTCTGAATGAAAGCAGCGAATATGCTTCTTCAACTGTAAAGCAAAAATGATAAAATACATACACACACGATGAAAGACAATATTATTTTCATCTCAGGACATAGTAGATGTTAAGCAAAATAATTATCAAAGGTTGTGATTCTTCTTGCCTGGCACAACCTAATGTAATGAATATAACAAAAATAAAAAATGCAACTTGGCGGGTGTTATTGTCCAGAATAGAAACTTTTGTACAGTAGCTTTAATTGTATTCCCTAATTACATAAAAAAGGAAAACACTGTTTTATATGTAATACTGACCTGGATAAAGTCATTAAAAGTCTTTTTACAGGAGGGACAGGTGAAACAGCCATCTACTGCATGAACTCCAACATGATCTTTGAGGAGGTCGAGCTTTTCAAAGGTCTCTGGGCACAACAAACAGGAATAGGAGCGATTCTCTGTGTGTACCAGCAGATGGTCTTCTAGAGCAGAGTCTGTCATGAAGCTTTTTGTGCAAATATGGCAGGAGAAGGTGTAGGCCTCCCGACCATGAACCCGCAGGTGCTGGTCCAGTTTGTCTTTATCACGAAATGCTTTGCCACAGTGAGTGCATTTGAAAGGACGGAAACTCTTTCTGATGAAAAGGTGTTGCAGTGCTGCATTCTGTAAACAGAAATAAGTTATATCAGCTTATTTCAAGGTGATTTAATGATGCAACATGTAAAATATGATGCAAAGTATGAGTTGTGAAACATCTTACAATGCATAATGCACACAGTGTAAACACAATGCATGTTTTCTGCTATCCTTTTAATCGCACCTACCTGCACATCCACCTTTACAGGTAGCACGCAGTGAGGAAAAGAGACACAATGATGTAAATATGCTCCCTGTAGTACTACAGTTTAAAGCCTTATTGACATAGTTACTGTTTTCATGCACCCAAAAATACTACACACATTTCTCCTTAAAATGTATTAAAACATTTCTGGGTTTGCATTAAGCAAGCAAAGATCTAATTGACCAACAATAACAGTGATAAATCCAGATAGATAGATACTACAATAAGCATTTTTCAAGACACAGTTCTTATACTACTTCTGTACACAGAAGCATCAGCATAGTCAACAGTACCATAAAGCTCCTTACTCGTATCCTTTTGGCACGGCGCATGTCCTGAGATGTGAGGTGGGCGTCTGACTCGCTGCTCTGTGAGGGGTCCTCCTTCAGTACAAGAGGGAGCTCCACGTTTGTGGGCGAAGAGGCAGATTCTGGGACCGGTGCCTCTACAGCAGCTGTGAGTTCACTTTCTGCCTCTGTCCCAGGCTCAGCCTCTAATTCTGCTGCTTTTAACCCATTTTGAACCCCCTCAAACTCCTCTTCATTATCTTGCTTTTCAGTAAGTTCAAGCATCTCCTGTTAATGACAAATAATTTTTAAAAGGATGACTTTTCATTGATTTAACAAAAATACATTCCAAAAATGTTGATGCTATTTGGTATTTGATTAGGTTTCAACAAATACAGAAACTGTGCACTACCGTCTTCTCAGTGTCATCTTCTATTGCACTTAAGCGCATAAATTTGGCAGGACGTCCTGGTTTTCTTCCATGTCTCTTCTTGCCCCTTCCTCTCCCCCGCCCCCTCGCTCTACAGTTACAATTATTTGGACCATTAGTAAATATTGTAGTAAACTTGCGGTAAATAAAAGGTGTAGCAATAACAATACCTAGTAGCTGTGGTCAATTTGTCATCATGCATGTTCAGATGATGTTGTAATTGCTCAGAGCTTACAAATCGTTTGTTACACTCATAACAAGGCCAGTTCCGCTCCAGTTCCCGTAATGCTGGTAAACCATAAGAAATGATCACTAAAAGTAACTTTAAAACTCAAGCTTTCATGTTTGTTATGACATTAAATGGAAAACACCTTTTCTTTCTTCTTCTGTTACACTGTGGATCTTCTGATTTGCAAACTCAGCATATGATGCTGCATACCACACCTGTAGACACCAGTCAACATTTTCAAATGAACCATACTTTTTAAAATACATTTAAAATATTTAGCAGCAGCTGCCAGAAGATAATTGACAACTATTAACTGTTATCTTATAACAATGACCTTTAGTTCCTGTTTGGGTTGAATATTCTTGATAGTTGTGAAAAATATTTCAGGACCATACTGGTAGGCGACAAGGTTCTGCTCCAGATGGTTCTGTGCTGGTCTCACAAACATCATCCAGTTACAGCTGTCCTCCTCCGATAGATCAAACCATATATCACTTGACTTTTCTGCTTCTTTGTCAGCATCCAATAAGCAGAGCTAAAGAAAAAACAGTCCTTAGTTATATAGGACAATAACAAGCAGTTAATGTTTAAATTATAAAAACATATATTGTGAAAGACATGTCAGGCCTACTTTAAGGTGGATGTAGTTATTCTGGAGTTTGCTCTGAGGAACAAGAGGAGCTTCCAAAGGCCCAAACTGTGTGCGCTTTGGGATGCGCCTTTTGGAGAAGACACCACCAAGAAATCGGTCAATGTACAGGATCTGAGGAAGGCTGGCTCGGGCTTTGGACAGCACTGGTCTGTTGGGAACAGGGTGCAGAGGACCATGCTTTAAACAGACTGAAGGGTTTGCTCCATTGCACTCCTCACACCCTAAAAGAAGGATAACACATATTTATATGCAAAGGCAAATTAAAGCATTCTGTTAAAACAAACATTTGACTTACAGAGTTTGTGGGGGTTAAAGTCTTCATGCTGAGAAGGGGGTTCCCAATCGTCCATCTCTGAATCATCTTCTTCATCTTCATCAGAGTCATCAGTAGAGTCTGTGGCACCGAGAGGACTGGAGGGGGGCTCAGCAATATCAGTTATGGAGGGGAGCTGATTGGACACAGAGAGCTGTTCCTTCAAAGATTATAAATGTTACACTTCATCTTACACATAATATTACACCAATCAGACATGGTCCAACCTGAGGCACAGGTTCAAGGAGAGCTTGTGGGGCTTCTGCTACATTACTAAGAACATGTAGATTAGCCGCATTCATATTTTGGCCACTGGGAAGCAGAACGACCTAAAAATCAATCACAATTATGCATGTTAATACCTCTGGGAAAAACAAAAAGAACAATATTTATTCAAAACTTTATAACACAACATACTTGTTGTGTTGCACCATCCTGCTGGATGTAAGCCACCTGTGGTTGGTCTGCAAAGACAGTCTGTGAGAAAGAATAAAACAAATATGAGCAAACCCCAAAATAAAATATTTTTATTGTCTAAATTCTCTGTCTTTTACCTGAGTGCCATCTGCAGGATGAATGTAAACTAATGTGTGCTCGGCCGACTCTACAGATGTGTAGGAGCTTCCGTCTGCTGTGTACACCACTTGTTGTTGTCTGTCAGTCTGATCATCACTGTACACAATCTGAGCAACTGTACCTCCTTCAAAATGTACCTGAAACCCAGCAGAAATGTATCTATGTAAAACAGTGTTCTGAGGGTCATAGCACCTCAGCCCATGGGTCTTTGTTCAATAATACATCCACCCTTCAGACAGTGCAGACCTGTGTGCCTGACTCGCTGTCTTGACTCCACACTGTAGAAGCCTCCTGCTTGGTTTCCATGGTAATACAGTCCAGGCCTGTCACCTGTAACCCCTGAGAGACTCAGGAATACTGCAACAAAATCAAAGGGTAGTTTGGGAAATGTAGTTAAAGCAGGTATATGAGTATGTTTTTCTTGTTGAAAGGAGCACAAGGTAACTTTTTAGAACTTTTTTTTTCAACAAAGTTAAATACCTGTAATTGCAGTTAATTGAATAAATTAACTTAATGTCATACATTCCAACATTCCAAGAGCAACGATTACATCTCCATGGAGACAAGAAGGCGGGGAACCCTCACCAGAAAAGTTACATCGTACACCTTTAAATATGATTACATGATTTGCTCAATTATCCATGTAATAAAGAGGTGCAGGAAAAGCAGGGCGGTTTCTGAAGTGGAAGAGATATTTTGTCTTGATTTTTGTGCTTCTCTATCTTTAGAGGATACATTGCTACCAAACAATACATGGACCATATCCACAGAATGAGTTAATCGAAGCAATGTGGGGTTTTCAGGCGTGTCTGTTGGGTGACAGATAGGGACAGATAACGCCAAAATAACCCAACATGTGCGCGTTTGTGTGGGTCTGATCGCACAGGGCACTCAGCGGGGGTACGAAGGAAAAGGCGGCCTAGGATTGCTAAACAAGGCCGCCGAAAAATGGTGCTAGTAACGTCCTTTGTTGTTCAAAATCGCAACTGGATAATTATCACTCGATGAACTACTTCTAAAAGGTTAGTTGGTAGAATCGATAATAATTTCAATCCCCCCCATTTTAACCCTGCAGGTTGTCAGTCCCAAACGGACCATACCACAAAAAACTGCCGTAACGAAACCCGGGCATTCACAGTCCTGTAACATTAGCATTACGGACACATAGAACCACATTAAATACGACATGCAGGGCAAATACTATTGATAAAACCCTGTCACCACTGTGCATTTTAGAGGTTATATATGTGAGGGGTTATAACGCTATAAATGGACAGGAATCTTTAGCAAACCCACCCGTCCCCTATTCTAGTTGAGCCCAGCCCTTCCACTGCACTGTGGAACAAGGAAGACCAGGCTCCATTTTGGGTGGGACTAACAACAACAGCTACGCGTAGAGACATACGGTTCAGAAAAGACATGCTTTATCACAGTACCACCCCAGAAATAACACGCTCAGTGGACCTGTGTTACCAGGTGGACTTCTAAAAAATCAGCCTACGTTAGTTTCATTGCAGCATTTGTCCTAAAAGGTTAATTTCGTGCAAGCCACAGAAGCCGGTCTTACCTCAGAATGGTAGCTGCAGAGATGGCCGCATTGCATATATTAGCATAATCTTCCTAGTAACCGTCAGGCGTCTGAGTTCTGATTGGCTGTTATTTAGAGGGAGCGCAATAAAAAAACAAACAAACAATTGAAGACAAGTACATATTAATCCAAACAGTAATAAACCATATTAATTCGACCTTAAATTTCACATTTGTCTAATATAAATAGGAAATATTTGTCAATACAATATATACTCATGTTATTTAACAACAGCCTACCCCTAGATATTTAAATTCTCCAAAAAAGTGCATATTAAACTAAGATTTTGTGTGGTTCTTGAAAAGCTCAAAGTTCTAAATTCTGCATTAATTAGATGTTTAATCACTTTGAAAAACTATTAATACCCAATACAACCACAAGATGGCAGTAAGCAGCTGGGTAAATTTTAGATTTTTTTCTTTTTTTTCTTTTTTCTTTTATCTTTGCATCCACGATTTAAAGGTGCACTGTAACTTTTCGGGAGGAGATTCTGCCACCTCATTCTGTCCATATAAGATGGTTGTCATTTCTTTACCTGAAATGCTTCGTGGAATTACATATGCCTATCAAACATTTTATTTTCTAATAGATTCTCAAAAATCCTCAAACAGCATGCAGTCTTAGTGATCTCGTCTTTCCACTGTACCTGATAAATAAGTTTAAAATTCTAGATAAAGACAATCAATCAATCAAACTTTATTTGTAGAGGCCTTTACAAGACGCAAGGTGAAGAAAGTGCTTTACATTAAAATCAATACAATATAAAAACATGCGACAAAAACGAGCATATGGCAGACCCGCCACACTTTAAGTACCATTGTGCAACATGTTTTTTTCACACCAAACATAACAGTCTAGGGATGTCAAACTCAAATTCACAGAGAGCCAATATTTATTCGTGGGCCAAACTAAATATTCATTGAAAATTTCAGCAACATCTGCATGTTTTTTCTTCTTTTGAGATATGTAATGTTAAACCTTTTCTTACTAAAATAAATGTTAAATAATAATTTGTTTAAACATTGAGTCCAGAACAAGCATAATATAAAGTTTGAGTTTGACATGTCTGGTCTTTGGCTTCAACACACACACTGAATTGTCTTTTTCTTTATTATTTTTAGTACGTGCGAACCCAAAAAGAACAGCTCTCAAACTAATAATAAAAGACATACCATCCATAGACCGTATAAAAATATATTTATATGCAGTCTGTCCTGGCCACAAGGTGTCGCAGTGCATTGCTTCCCTAGGGTAGGACTAAACGGGGCACGGATCAGGGATCTGGGAGCTGGGAGGGAAAGAGGGAAGGAGGTGGGAAGGGGAGGAGGAAAAGGCTCCGCGCCACACACACTCGCTGCACATTTCCAGAGCAGGACGAGCTACGCACACTACAGGCGGGTTTCTCTGAAGCTCGGCAACAAATCAAGCGGAGAAGGACTCGTCCCGCGTACACTTTGGTCAATTATTCCCTGGACGTGATCAGCTCTTTCTTATTTCAGTCGACAGCCTCCACACGCTCAAAGGATATAACTTATTCAGAGGAGGACGAGCTTCTTCAACATGGGTCCAGTCCCAGCGATATCTGTCCTGTTTTTGGGCATCGTGGTTCCTTCCTTGGCTGCTTATATTGAGGTAGGCTATGTAACCAAAATATGCTTTTTACATCCTGTCAATGTGTTGTTGTTTCGCTGTAAACCAGAGCTCTGAATGTTCTTCTATAAAGCAACGAAGGGCCCCGGGCCAGTCGTTTTTGCGTAAATGAGGCGCCTAGACCAGTTTTCTATTTGTAGTTATTTCACTGATTTAATGTGGGTACTTTTATACATTGCAATGCAAGACATTGCCAAACCACTAGTTCAGAGAGGTATTTAAACGGTTTCTCAGTGCGTGTCATGATGTCGCGCAGCAGTCTGTTTGTGAGAGTTGGAAAATGTGGGCCCGGAAGGTGTTCTGTGACCCACGGTGGGGTGTGCTGCTGCCTGGTGCAGGAATCAAATGGAAGACAACAGGTGCTTTGTCACGTCTTAAAGGAGATCTACGACCCCTGCACTGTAGCACGATGGACAATTCCCAGAATAAGATCTCCTGGAGTAGGCCTATTCAAATAAAAGTTCTGATAATGTAGGGCTATCAAAATGGGCAGTTCTGAGTAAGAGGATGAGGCTGATGAGCCTGGGGGGTTGCCCTCGAGCTGCCTGTGTCTGTAGTTCAGTTTTTTTTAGGTCCTATGCAAAGTCACTATGCTGTGAGTGAGATCAGACTCAAGCTTCAAGTCACCTGCCATCAAGTCATTATCAGTTCAGACTATGACCTTTTGAATAAACCTTTTCTAGTCTAGTTAAAATAAAGGTCCCCATGTTCACTTGTCCCAATTTTCTATTGGCTCGCCATTTGTTGTCCCTGACACTTGTGCCTTTCCTGTTTCTGTCTCAGAAAGATCCATTTTTAGAGTCCCCACCCCCCAAGCTAGCAGGTCTCACAGGGGTAGTGCTGATTACTATGACAAAGCTGGGCAACTTGACATGGCATGCAGACGGTATGATGATTTTTGAATAGCGCATTTTAATATGCCAACAATGAAAACAGGTCTGGGTGTTATGACTGCAGCCCTATGCAATTATGACATTGCCATACAGGTTAAAAACAATGACAGCTTTAAGCATTTTTTTTTTCAAGGTGATGCATAGGCCTATTGTGAAGTGGTATGTGTGGCTCTATTGTATGCACTTGAACGAATACTGAGGCTTGACCATAAACTTTTGCAGGCCTACATCCCTTTAGAGATTGACCACACATGCTTTTCCCATTGTTCTTCTGTCATTGACCCGTTTGTTTCACACTTCCTTTCTTTGGGACGTTACCTCAGCTGTGTACACGCCTGTGTTTAGTCAGATAACTGAGTGTGCCTGATTACAAGCATTTGTTGCCTCAGCTGTGATTCCCCTTTCACATCACAATTCCAGAGTGATCCCTTTATTAAATCTGAATCTTCTTGCTTCATAATATATTCTTCTTATGACAGTTTATATGTAAAAGAAGTGCAAAGTCTTGGTCTTGCTCTTTAAGATGTTATGCACAGCTGTAGTTTGTTCAGGACCATTTAGCAACAGCATACACACCCCATGCAGTTGTAAACCAGTGGATTGCATCACCGTGAAGCATTTGCTGCTGATATGGGTCCCTTTGGATTAATGGAATACAGAATATGTAGAGCACTTAACGCATTCAGGACATTTTATTCTCTGCTGACATAAGCACATAATCTCTAGTCAAGCTAAATGTTATGCAAGACAACATTGTGAGATTCTTTTTTTTTTTTTTTTTTTTTTTTTTTTTAATTGCAGTGGACACAATATTCAGGACAAGACTGAGCTTGCCAGCTGATGAAGCAAAGGTTACTCACTTGATGCTGGTTGTTAAAAGTACTGCTCCGTTCTTATTGCAGTTGTATTGCAGCAGAAATTTCCTCTTATCATGGAGTGTGCGTGCTGGACTGAGAATGCAAATAGGCCAGCAGCAGTGACATTAAAGTCCCCCTCTTTGTGTGTATTCTTGGCAGACGGGGGAACAATCGCATATGAATTCCCCCAGTCCCCTGTTATTGTTGGGTTAGGGGCACAGGAGCTGGCATTTAAGGAGACACAATATAATTCCCTATGTGGGTTCTTTGTGTGTTGGTGAATAGGGAAAACATTACAATTCAAGCTCTGTTTAGCCTGTAAAAGAACCAAAACAATGGCTGCCACTTACATGTGATAATGATCTCGCTATTATGTTGTAGTAAAGCATACTGTGTTGCCTTCAAAGCCTTGTCTTGGCCTTTTGACCTCCTGTTTGCTTTGTTGGTCAAGTCAACTTGCTTCATCAAGAGAGGATCTTTTCTTGAATTTGTAGATTAGCCGCATAAATCTTGGTTTCAATTGTTGGGACAGCCCTGTATCCCTGTGAATCCTCTTAGCGACAAGAAACACAGGGGCTGCTGCTTATAGAGCTGCAAAGAGGGAAGGACTAATCCTCAGCTCTACCCTTCACTGTCAGCTCGTGCGTGCTCCCCTCTCACCCACACACACTTCATTTGTACACCTGCACAAGCAACTGATCTCCAAGACCCACTGAGCTGAGTCACCCACCTGTATGTGGCTCCTCACGTGCTTTGTACTAAGCTTGGTTTAGCCCATAGAATGTCATTGTGGCTATCTACATTTTCCTTCTATTTATCTTAAGGTTTTGATTTGATGTTTTTCTGCATCTGATTTGCCTTTTTACTGAACAAAGGACACTCAGTAATGGTATGCAAATCAATACAATATCTGGATAGCAACTACTGAATTGAACTACAGGTTAGGCAGTAATAATATGTAAATATTTTTCTTTCTATTTCTATTTGATACTATTTATTAAGGAAAATAACTTGATACTTGATACTCGAAACTAAATTTTGATACCAGACGTTGGAGTACTGTGTTGTCTTACAAAGTATGCAATGCAATTTAGCATTTTTCACAATGCAGAAAATAAGGTTAAAGAGAGATGTACCCTTAAGATAACTATTGGCTTACCTCAGTACTTGTCTTAACTGTATGTAATTGAATCCAAGTCATCTTTTGTTTAAGGCTTTTATGCAAAACATTCATATTATAACAGTTTGTTTGATGGTATTAAGATAGAGTTGCAATATGCAACTTTTATTAAAAGCTCACTAACGCACTGCTTTATCTACTTGGCCTTTTCTGTTTCTCCAGTCATATTCTGATAATGAAAATAACTGTTCTTTTTCATCTGGAGATTGTTTTGTGATGTGCTCTCTGAGTGTTTGTCTGTCTGCACCCTGAGCTCATCACATATTTAATCAACTCCTCTCAGTGAAGGATGCCATGCGCTGGTGTGAGCCAGGTCAAATCCTAA